GAGCGTCATGAAGTTGAACGTCATGAGCTGCGGCTGGCGCCGGCACTCGTGGTCGTTCGGGGGGCAGCCCCGGGCGATGCGCCGGCAGCGGCTGCCGGAGGACCAAGGGCATTGTTAAGGGGGGTCAGGACAAAATTTTGTCAATTCTAGGGCTCTAAAACCATGTGTCCTGTAGGGATATGGTGAGTGTGGGACTGTCGACAGGGTAAAGCATTTAACTATTGGTCTATTGTGACCATTTTCCAGGCTCAAAAAGTATCCTGACTCTCAAGAGTCACCCTGAACGACAATTCTAGTAAAGTGTTACAAAACAGTTAAAAATCTTGCGCGCAAGGTTTCTCGGTTATGGTTTGCACTACAACGCTGAAACTTTTCCTGTAAGTTAGCCATATGAATACCTAAAACTTGTCACAGGATTTTCTTGACATTCTCACTTGCTGATTTTTAATGACAAATTTAAGTTTCATGACCAAAATCATGCCGTTTTCACCGCTATAACATTTTTTTAAAAATCAATGGGTAGGAATTTTGAAAAAATCCTGTGACAAGTTGTTGAAAATACTGTAAAAATGAAGCCTGCAAAGTTTCATAGCTGTGGCGTTAAGGGTGTAGGAGAAACTCTGCGCGCAAGGTTGAAAAGTAAAGTTCAGAGAAAAACGCATCTAAAGTTGACGTTAATGGGCAATTTCAGGTTTGACTCTTCACAAGAAAAAATCCCACGGTCACAATTTTTAGAATTTCTTTACAAACTAAACAGCTATAGACTCAGGAAGAGTCAGAGAATTTTTAAAAAAATAAAACCGAAATTCATTTTTTTTTTGTCCTGACCCCCCTTAAAGACATGCCGAGCAAATGTAAGTGGGGACGTGGCAAAACGTCTAGTGCGTACGTACTTTTTCTGCGAGTTATCGTTGACGTATCCCTCGGGACACCTGATGGTGTTGCAGCGGAACGAGCCCTGCATGTTGATGCAGATCTCTCCCGGCTGACGGCACTTCTCCCCGGTGGCGCACTCGTCGATATCTGCCGAGATGAACCACACCGTCGTTATGAACCCTCGTCGAGGTTGAAGGAACAGAGGTCAGTTGGGAGGGTGGGAAAGCGGTGATCTCCTGGCAGGCAAGTCACCAAGCGCACACCCATGCCAGATAGGTGGCCTACCCGCCGGGCGGCGTTCACCCGCTCGACCAGCAGGGTCGACTCGGACGCAATGGGGGAGGGGGGGGGCACACAAATTTTTACCTTTTCTTATAGGAAACAAAACTAGTCGCGCTTTTCTCACCTACGCAGTTTCTTCCGTCCTTGCTGAGCCGGTAACCGGAGGGGCAGTGGCACCTGTAGCTGCCGAGCGTATTGAGGCAGTCGCCGACGCACAGATGCCTGTCCTTGTGCACTTGGCACTCGTCGATGTCGATGCAGGTCCTGCATGGGGCGGAAATGTTGATGTGTCAGGTAAATCGATCCTGGAGCAGTGCGATCAATAACACGACGCGTTTATTTTGCGGGTGCGAGCGCTAGGCGTGAGCACAGCACCTGTTGTCCGTGTGTAGGTAGAAGCCCCTCTCGCAGGAGCACCGGTACGAGCCCCACACGTTGATGCACTGCTGTTGACACAGGTTCGGCGTCTCGGCGCACTCGTCAATGTCTGACGGAGAACGTAGCAAAGTAAAACAATCAAAGAGATACACTAGTGCTGGGGGCTGACGTGGATCTGGATGCTATACATCCGAGGATCATACGCACCATCGCAACTTTTGCCTCGGCCCTGTCTGTAGCCCTCCTTGCAATGGCAGCGGTAAGAGCCGACCGTGTTCTCGCACGTCGCGAGGTCGGAGCAAGCCTGAAATTAATTTTAAGGAATCTCACAAATTTTCTTTCAACATCAGGTACACACACTAAATTCCTGAGACATTTTCAATAGGCCTATGCACTTAGGCCTTCATATTTCTGCGCCATTGCGTATTGTTTTGCACGTAGTTATGGGCAAACCTTTTTATAGCTGCAAATATTTCTACAAATTTGTTCATAATTGCGTATAAAATAAAACGCAAAAGAGCACGTACACAGAAATACATTGAGATGCGTACAAAGATCATAAGAATTTAGAGTATTAGAGGGTAGAGAAGGCAAGAGACCGCAAAGAAGATTCGAAATCCGCACCTGCCGCGGGAATCGCTCGCACTCGTCCACGTCCACGCAGTTCTTGGTCTCGTCCAGGGTGTGGCCAGGCGGGCACTGGCACTGGTAGGTGCCAGGCCGGTTGAAGCAGGTCTGTCCGGGCTTGCAGTTGTGCGTGCCCGTGGCGCACTCGTCCTCATCTGCGACACACGATAGAAGGATAACAGAGCCGTCAGCGTCACACGGGCGCGTCGCAAGCGCGGCCCAGGCGCCCCGGATGCATAGGCAACCCATCCTACATAATGTCAAATGGGCTGCCAGCCACCGGCGCTCGCCACGTCAAGGGATCGGCACAACAATAATCATCGCAGGTTAAACTTCACGGTTTGGGACAGAAGTTGATTGTAAAGCTCATCGAAATTCATCATCGGAGTGTTCATACTTCAGTCGAAGTTAGACGAAGCGCAGGGCCAAAGGATTTCCCCCTGCTTTATGCAGCAGCCCCGATAACACCTTGTTGGAGTTGAAAAATCCTTACCGACGCAGCGGTCGCCTTCGGGGCTGGGGACGAAGCCGGGCCTGCACTGGATGCGGAACACGCACTGGTAGGAGCCCGGGGTGTTCACGCAGCGTCGCCCGCGGCCGCACGGAGAGCCGATGCTGCACTCGTCGATATCTGGGATTCAAAATCGGATTTCAATACCTGTTTTAAAGTATCAGTTCTTAATCCAGCCGCAATCCATCTCAGGAAGTATTCAATCAAAAGATAAATTTGTAAATTTCCAGAAGATTTGATTTAAACAAATATTAATTGTAGTCCAACGCTTACCGCGCAGGCTTACCACCCTGCTTTTCTCGGAGGTGCTGTTTGCGTTCTTGTTAGACACAGCAGTTGTGCGGTTGGGTTAGCCCACGCGCCATGCCATGCACCCCTGCTTACCGACGCACTTGGAGGTGTTGGCGGCCGGCGCGTAGCCCGGGTCGCAGTCGATGCGGACGCACTCGCCGCTCGGCAGCAGCTGGTAGTCGGGCTCGCACTGCTTGCGCTCGCAGCGGAACGAGCCTTGCGTGTTGCGGCACACCCACGTGGGGCCCGACTCGCGACAGTTGTCGGTGCCAAGCTCGCACTCGTCGTCGTCTAAGCGCGCGTGCAGAAGGGTGGTTACATTAGGCGTTATCGGCAAAATGTTATTGGAGGTTAGGTTAAGGTTAGGTTGGTTAAGGTTAGTTAGGTGGAGGTTAGGGTTGAGGTAAGTTAGGTTAAGGTGAGTTAGGTTGAAGTTAGGTTAAGTCAGGTTGAGGTTAGTGCTCAGAGAGGTTACGTTTTCGTGCGCGACCCAGCAATCGTGGGGTTAGGAAAGTCAGAACAGAGTGGCAGGCGGGAGGTTGGCCGCAAAATAAAGGTTCACCGTACCGTCGCAGGTGCCGGTGGCCGCGTTGAGCGTGTAGCCGGTGCCGCAGCCCGAGTAGCGGATGCACTGGTACGACCCGATCGTGTTGTCGCACCGCTGCGAGGCCGCGCAGTGGTTGATGCCGAGCTGGCACTCGTTGATGTCGACGCACGCCGTCGTGAGCGGGTCGCGCGCGAAGCCCTCCTTGCACTCGCAGCTGTAGCTGCCCACCGTGTTGTGGCAGACCTGGTTCGAGTCGCACGGGTTCCTGATGCACTCGTCCTCGTCTTCGATGAAACGAAAAAAGAGCAGAAAGTATAGACACTCGGCGCGTTCCCCGTGAGTCGTCACCAGTAGACTGTCATTTCAAAGGTGTGCCAGGAGAGCAGAGGGCGATAAAGGTGAATGCTACAGAAAACAGATGCAGACCAAGCACACCTTTTCTTTTGCTTGAAGGGTGCATAGGTGCATGCCCAGGAGACGACTTCAGTTCCTCTGTTTTCTGCAGCAGCATTGTCGCCCTCCCCTGGTACCCCTTTGCAATGACAGAGTGTAGCCGGGGGTCACGTACCCACACACTTCTGGTTGTGGAAGGAGTACATGTAGCCCGGGTCGCAGCGGCCGGCGCCCAGGGGCCGCGCGGGGACGGCTGGCGGCGAGGCGCTGAGGGGCGCGGGGCTGTCGCGCTTGACGCAGCGGTAGCCGCCGGGCTCGTTGATGCAGAGCTCCGTCACGTTGTTGCAGATGTGCAGCTTGGCGTCGGCGCACTCGTCCACGTCTGTAGCGGGAGGGCAGACGCGCGCGTGCACGCGGCAAAAAGTAAAAATAAGTATCCATTCCAAACAGATCTGTTTGTCAAGCAAACAACCGCACCAACCACCGACACAGCTATAGCGCACACACGGAGACATGCAAAGCCTTCCAGCATATGGCGGCACATGGCGACGGGAAAGGAAGCATCGCAGTGCATGTGTACACACAAGGGCGCACGCCTCAGCTCACGGCCCCCCTTCCCCCCGAGCAGTACCCAGGCAGCGCCTCTCCGCCTCGCTCAAGCGGAATCCCGCCGGACATTGGGCGGACGGGGGCGGCGGCGCGGACGGCCTGTTTGTCGAGGGCATCGCGGCCCGCTGCGTCGTCCTGGCCGGCGGCAGCGTCGGCCTCGGGGTGGTCGTGGTCGAGGCGATGCAGCGGAAGCTGCCGGGCGTGTTGACGCAGAGATCCGCCGCCGGGCACGACGTCGAGCCCTCCAGGCACTCGTTTACGTCTGGGCAGAGAGGAAGGGATCAGAGGGAAAACACCACCATCGGCGACGCTCATATCTCTCTCGCCTATGGGGTTTCCGCATGCACCACCAGGTCAGATGATCTGTGTCCTACCGTCACAGCCTCCGGACGGCGTCCTGAAGTAGCCCGACGGGCACGGCGGGGAGTCCTCACAGGTGAAGCTGCCGTTGGTGTTGCGGCACCTGGACAACAGTGAACAGCCCCGCATTATAGGCGCCCACTTCGTCCCTGGACACACACGATCCTCCTCCTCGGCGCGCAGCCAGCCCCCCCCCCCCTCCGCACCTCTGGGAAGCGATGAGGCACGAGTGCAGGCCCTCGGCGCACTCGTCGATGTCCTCGCAGACGGTGGCGGTCAGTCGGCCCGCGGCCCTCACGCGGAAGCCGGGCTCGCAGGCCGGAGAGCACTGGAACGCGCCCCCCTCGTTGACGCAGCGCTCGCTGGGGCTGCAGTTGTGCGTCCCCGTGGCGCACTCGTCCACATCTGGAGAAGAGGGCTCAACTGTTAGCGCGAGTGGATATAGTAAGCAGCGGGTCCTCTGTGCGGACCATAGTTTCTCACCGACACACTGGCGGTGGAGCCGGCTGAACTGGTAGCCCTGCGGGCAGTCGGTCGAGGGGGACGGGGTGGTCGGGGACGGCCGGCCCCGCTCGCATCGGAAGCGGCCCAACTCGTTGACGCACACCTCGTCCTGGCGGCACGAGTGCGACCCCTCCTGGCACTCGTTAATGTCTGCCAAAATAATACAAAATACGGTGACTTTCACTATTATTCTTAAGGAAAACTTCCTGTTATGTTTTATTTAGAAGTTTAGAAAAATTTCCCAGTTTCCAGTGACATTTCTGAGCACTCACCGTCGCAGAGCCCGGGGCTGGCGCCGGCCCTGAAGCCCGACGGACACGCGCCCGGTCGCGGCCTCCGCGGGTCCGGGCGCGCCGTGGTCTGCTGCGTCGCGGGGGCGGTGTGGGCTGTGTGGGCGGTGGGGGCAGCGGTGGCGGTAGCGGCGGCCGCGGGCACGCACACGAAGCTGCCCGGGGTGTTTATGCACCGCTGGCCGGCGCCGCACAGGGCGCCGTTCTCCTCGCACTCGTCGACGTCTGGCGGGAGCGTTAACGAAACATGTGTTTAAGAAAGGTCTGGTTCGACAGAAACAACAACGTGTGTAAAGTCCGGGAGGCACATTCATAGCCGCTTCTCACCCTGGCACAGCCTCGTGATGGGGTCGAGGCGGTAGCCCCGGTCGCAGGCGCGCGGCTCGCAGTCGTAGGCGCCCGCCGTGTTCCTGCAGACCTCCGTCTCGTCCTCACAGTCGTGGATCTGCTCCAGGCACTCGTCGACGTCTGAGGGCGGGTGTCGGGGCCGGGTGCAAGCACGGTGAGCACAAAAGCACAAACGCCAACCCCGCTCCCTCGAGCCAGCAACAC